GGCGGCAGTGGTGAGGCCCAGAGGCAGCGAGGCGGGCCTGGCAGCCGTGTGCCCACTGAGCTCCCACGCACTTTTTGTTGTTGATGGCTTGGGCCACACCGGCAAATATGGCTGCCCCTCACCCTGACACCACCGTAGTATCATGATCTTTCAGTTTCTTGATGTTCTGCTTGTGCCGCTCAATTTCTTTCTGCAGACGCTCACTCTCCTTTTTATGATGAGTGATCTCTTCTTCATGTTGTTTCTTCAAGGCTGCCAGCTGTTCTTTAGTCCGCTCTTAGAAATATCGTTCCTCTTCAGCCTTCTCTTTTTTTGTGAAGGTCTCACCGGCTTCCCTGATCGCACCCGCCTTGGAGCTGAAATTAGCTGACCATTTGCAGCCAAAGCCTCCGGCTTGCATGGCCCTCACTCCCCACACTCCGAGCCGCAGCCACACCACTGACACCGAGACTGCCATGGTTGGCAGTGCCGCGCAGCTCCGGACCACCCCACTTGGTTTTAAACGCAAACCCGCCTTGGACAGGCCTTGAAGGTCTTTTTTCCTTCTGTCTGCTCACATTCAAGTGCCGGCAGCGCTGGTCCGTTGATGCCTGGCCTGTCCTCTTCAGATTCAACCTGCAGGACTACTAGGGGAGGCAGCCCCCAGTCCGCCCTGCCCCTGTGTCGGTCATGACCCGTTAGGGTGTTCCGGCCTAATTTGCATATTTCCTCTCTCTCTCTCTGTGTATATATATATATATATATATATTCTTTTTCTAGTGCATAGCTCCTCCCATAGAGAAACCCTTGTGCATATCTACAGGCTTAAACACAATGTGAGAAGGCAGCATTTGTTTGAGCAAGGTTGATGACTGCCACCATTGTTGTGATTTTTTTCTGAGAGAAGTCAGGGGCTCAGTGAGTCAAGTGGTGAGCTCTGTGCCATAGGTTAAGAATTAAGGTTACTTCATTATTGTGAAAAATCTTATATAATAAAAGGCTAATATGTAATTGTCCCCTTGGGAGTTTGACCGAGAGTTCGACCACTCGCTATGACGTGTGCTGACCACCAGGGAGTGGCGCAGAATGAAGGAAGGCCCTGGCTGGGAGCCAGGAGAAGGAAGGCCCTAATTGGCCCTGATTGCCAACCAGGCCTAGGGACCCTACTCGTGCACGAATTTCATGCACCCAGGCCTCTAGTATTTCAATAATTGCAAAAGTGTATAAACTTTTTTAAGGCCCTTTTTTAGAAGTAAGAAAATGCATATGTTTGTTAAAGTAAGGGGTTACAGTTTTGAGCCTGTATTATATTACAGGAGCCACCCTTATACCTGTAAATGACTCTCTTTTCTCTCCAGGAAGTGTGGCACTACCTGCAAGTAGCATCTTTTAACTTTTCCTGTTGATAAGGAAATGGATTTCTGGTCAACCCCACAATAGCAATAACTAAAGATGTTAAATAACACAACCCCACAGTTTAGCATGTTTTCTTATGAGGAAATTTTGCTGTCCCAAGTTGTGATTGTCTTCTATTTCATTATCTGGTTTTGGAGCGTTTGCAAAAACAATCTTCTGCAAGCCCTTCTAATCTACTATTTTGCTCCATGGCCACAACAAATTACTTATGAGGACTACACCTCCTAAGATGCAGTAGAGCACTTCCTAGGTTCCCAGACTCTTGCATTCCAGGCCTTGATGTCCCTCTGAATGGATATAGAACGTTTGGGTAGGAGGGTAAGGTGGAGGGAAACAAGATCCAACCAAGTGATATAGACCACACTTGGAAGCTGGAGGATTGACTGTTTTATTTCTGGATGGTAGTGAATAGGAAGAAGACAATGAAGGTCGAGATGAGGTTTTCCAACCTCTTCTTCAGGAGGCCCTTATTTTATAAAGCAAGTCTAGGATAGGGTTGTCAGAAGGTCTTTGCAAAAAATACAGACCTTATCTCTCTGTGTGAAATACATTTTCAGTCAAAATATTTATTGAAACGTTTCAAATGATTTCTTACTTTTAGAAAGAATTATTTCACTGCATGTGAACCTTATAGAAAAAAAGTTGAAAAATTATTTAGTTCATTTTACACAGATCCAACTCACATTCTGCTTTTCTCATCCACACATTATTATTTTTATTGAAAATTCTTTTTACACCTTCATTTGAGACAGGAACCTATACACAACACTAAAACAATTTCAACAAATGTCAACACAAAAGTCAAGAAGAAATACACCAGGTGTATTTTCTGAATCAATAAAAATGTTATTAATAATAAAAAAGACATTTGCAGTTTTTAAATTTTCATTTTGCTGGGCAGGAAGCCAACATTCTGGATAATCAGTTTAATATCAGACACTCAGAATCTGAGTTGAGAAGGAAGGTTTTCTTCATTCTTTGTCCTTGAAATTAGGGTTAGTGGCTATTCCTTCAGACCGGGAAGGGGGCTTTAGTGATGTTTCTCAGGGCTGAGCCTGTGAAGGGACTGGGGCATTAGCCCAGCTCTTTGCTGTCCCCTCAGAGACCAGGCTCAGAAAAGGTTCAGGAATTTAGGGGCTCTAACCTGTGGCTGAGTGTCAATGCAACCTTAAATACAGCTCTCAGCTATTTATTCAGCTCAGGTGAATTTTAGAGGTTAAAAGGCCTTCCTGCTTTTTTCAGGTTGTCAGATTCAGATGTTTGAATATAGTATTTTTTTTAAAAGCATTTCATCAGTGAGACCAAATAATCGTTTTCTGCCTCTATGATTAATTGGTGAATCCTCGACCCAATTAACTAAGGCAAACTTCAAATTTGCATTATTACTGCCCTTTCAGAATCCAATGGCACTTTTAAAAAAGCATTCAATGGCTCATTTCAGCTCTACCTAAAAGTCCTTACAGTGCAAATGTTATTTTTGGCTGAGGGGCATATGCTTTCGTC